CCCCAAAACCCCAAAACCCCAAAACCCCTCATAGAAATTATAGCAATTTATTTGATAAATTTAAGTATTTTTGATTATAATATTAATTGTATGAGTGATTAACCAAGACATACTTATTACGATCCAAGTCGTTTTCCAGATCATGTCAAGATTTCAGAGGATAAATAGAATCAGTAAATGAAATCTAAACCACAAACCACAAAAGGAAGATTAATTGCTCCAGATGTAATCCATCTCTCTGACTTTAGAGATCCAATCAGTCTTTAAGTTGGCGGTGATAAAGAGAAAATTAATCCTGAATAAGCTGAAAAGATTGATTTAAATTAAAAATAGATAAACAAAGAATCCAAAGCAGCTAATGAGATTGAAGATTAAGAAAATAAGCCTTTCTTGAAAAGTGAAATACAAAATATTATGGATTAGAATAACAAAAATATATGAAGATATCATTTTTGTTTGATATGCCTCCTCGTTGATAGTTGAATTTATTTAATTTAATTAAGGATTCAAATTAATTTACTCATAAATTCATAGATTAAGCTAATTAAAGTAACATTAATTATAATAATATTTACTCAACTCATTCATTAAGACCTTACCTCCATTCATATTAAGAAATGTTTAATTACTTCAGAAGATCAGCAACTGGCTAAGACGACACGTACCCGAGAAATCAAGAATACGGGAAACATATTGACATTAAGTACACTGGATAAATGCCAGGAGAGTAAATTTGGGAAGAGAGTAAGCAATTGTCAAATTAATCCTTAATTGATGAGAGTCACCAGTTCCATGCTCAGAAAACTCATAGCTATGACCGTATTTAGCTTACAAGCGAACCGACTGCTAACCCTGGCCCTTTAATGGAATAGTAAGAAAGAATATATGACGAAGGAAAGGTAGAATGAATTTAAAATAAAATCATACTTATACACGTAATAGATTGACTAGAACTCACTCAATATCTCTCTAATTATAGTTAATTAAATATTCAACAACAAACTTGAATCCTAAATCTTAATTTCTACACTTTTCTTAATCTCTAGAAAGCGGGGTTTTGGGGTTTTGGGGTTTTGGGG